CTCCTTTTATAGGCCAAAATTAGGAACTATTGATTTGATGACTAATTGATGAGTGGGTGGCCAACTCTTGACTTAGTGACAATCCTTATCTTATCTTATCTCCCAAAACATCAATGATAATGTCAGAATTGGAACCACTTAAAAACATTAAGGTTCTAGAAAATTGTCTCAGCTTTACAAGAAAAACTTTGAGGTCATTTGGACTTCTAGAACTTCGAATATGGGTCAAACACTGAACATTGCTCGGGCTGTAGGATAGATTCAGACTTCTTCGTTATTGCTATAATTTAGACTTGAAAACGGATTTTTAAAACTAGACATCCACATGAAAGTTATAGGCCTATGTTTTACCTTTCCATCCATATAAAGTACACCTAAATTCGAGCTCTACGACTCCAGATATGACCCAATTACCGAACAGTGTTCCGGTTTGGACTACACCAGCATCTCTTTTCTAAGTTTGGCCATCTCTTTGTCCTTTCAATTTTAGTTCTTAAACTCATCAATCAATCCTTTCATCTATGTAATAGGCCTATATTTAAAATGAACATTTACCATAAATTAAAGGTATCTTATAATATTAGATATATTATTATAAAACATGCTTTAGTTAAGGAGTTATTGATACTTCAAATGCAAGAACGACTTAAATGCCCTCTATGGGTCGGATATAGGCTTCCCATCTAGTTTTTAAAGAAAAACTAGCAAATAGAATCTTTTTTAGTCAGATTCTCAAGACTAAGTCGATCATGTTCTTTATAAAAATGGTGGCCATAAGTCATGAAATGTATAATGCACATCTCCACCATGATATCTCTCAAAAGTTAATAGAAGATTATCTAATGTTTCCTTATATTTTGAAACAAATCCTAACTTTTAACACTTTTCACAAGCTTTGCAAAACACATATGTGTCTTTGAACATGGTAGGTCAATAAAATCCATATTGTAAGATTCTTGCAGTTGTCTTTTTTTACGAGAAATGACTCTCACATGCTTCAGAATGACAAAGTTTAATGACACTACTTACCTCATTGTCGGGAATGCATCTTTGAAATATTTAATCAAGACAATATTTGAATAAGTAAGGGTCATCCCAATAAAAATTTTGCACATTGCTCAAAAACTTTCTTTTGTCTTCAGTACTCCAATAAGTTGGCAAATCTCCTGAAGTAAGAAAATTGATATTTTTATCAAACCAAGGCATTAAACTAAGAGAAAGTAACGATTCATCAAGAAAGTAATCATCAATTGGTGTGATGTCGGATGTCGAATCTATTGTCACTCTTGACAAATGATCCCCATCAACATTTTCAATGTCTTTTTCATTCGTAATTTCTTCCTGAGAATAAACCATTTGCAAATCTTCAAATTCATCCAACTTAATTTTACTCAAAGTAGACTCAAGTTGATCATAAACTAATTCTTCAATATGATCTACTTCTTATAAATCATTATCATCTCCAAGTTGCTTGCAAATGTTAAAAATATTCATCTCCAATGTCATGTTCCTAAATGATAGCTTCATCAGTCCATTCCTACAATTAATCAATGCATTAGAATTTGCAAGAAACGGACATCCTAAAATAACAGGAAATGAATTACATGCTTCAACAAGTTCTGT